CCCCCCCCCCCCCCCCCCCCCCCCCCCGCCCTTACGTCGCGGCCCCGCCCGCCCTACATCGCGGCCCCGCCGCCCTCACGTCGAGGCCCCGCCGCCTCACCTACGCGGACCCCCCCCGCCCCTTACCTATGCGGCCCCGCCGCCCTTACCTACGCGGCCCCGCCGCCCTTACCTACGCGGCCCCGCCGCCCTTACCTACGCGGCCCCGCCGCCCTTACGTCGCGGCCCCGCCGCCCTCACGTCGCGGCCCCCGCCGCCCTCACCTACGCGGCGCCGCCGCCCCTCACCTCCGCGGCCCTCGCCGCCCTCACCCTACGCGGCCCCGCCGCCCTCACCTTCGCGGCCCCGCCGCCCTCACCTACGCGGCCCCGCCGCCCTCACCTTCGCTGCCTCGCCGCCCGTGCCTACGCGGCCCCGCCGCCCTCACGTCGCGGCCCCGCCGCCCAAACCTTCGCGGCCCCGCCGGTCTCCCCTCCTGCCGAGCCGCCCGAGCAGCCGCCCGCCACGCCGCCCGGTACAAGAGCAGCCGAGCCGCCCAGCAGCAGCCGCCGAGCCGCCGGGCCCGCCGAGCCGCCAGTCCAGCCGAGCCGCCCCAGCAGCAGCCGCCGAGCCGCCAGGCCGCCGAGCCGCAGTACAAGCCGAGCCGCCCAGCAGCAGCCGCCGAGCCGCCGGGCCGCCGAGCCGCAGTACCGCCGAGCCGCCCCGCAGCCGAGCCGCACTACTGCGAGCCGCCCGACCTGCCCTGTCTGGTGAGCACAGCCCCACTGCTACTGCGTGCCCTTCCCCCACTGCTTGCACTGCTAGTCTGTCGTCATGGCTACCCCTAGTGTCCTCGCTTTTGACGCTGAGGGTCGAGCCATTGACTTTGAGGTCTGGGTCGATGACCTGCAGCTGTTTTTACAGTGCGATAGGGCGGACGGTCTTTCTCTCTTTGACCTCACCTCTGGCGCCTCCCTTGCTCCTGCTGCTCATGCTGACCCCACTGTTCGCTCTCAGTGGGCCACCCGCGATGCTGCTGCACATCTTGCTGTGCATCGCCACCTGCCTACCACTGAGCGCGCGCACTTTAGTCAGTACAAGAGTGCTCAGACCTTGTACGACGCTGTAGTTGCGCGCTACTCTTCCCCTGCCACTGCTGCACTGAGCCGCCTCATGCTACCATACCTCTTTCCTGACCTTGCTGCCATTCCTACGGTCGCTGACCTCATCACGCACCTCCGCACTTCTGACACTCGCTACCGCGCCGCACTTCCTGCTGACTTCTGCGCCAGGAACCCCCCCCCCCCATGTACATCGCTCTCTATTACATAGTCACTCGCCTCCCTGACTCCCTTCGCGTAGTCAGGGACCACTTCCTCTCAGTCTGTCCCACCACCCTCACTGTCAACCTCCTCGAGAAGGCCCTCCTAGCGGCGGAGAAGAGCATAGTCGCTGTAGGAGCCTCTCGTGGTGACCCGCGCACCCCCATCTTTGAGGGGTGTTCTCCTTCCCCCCTGCTGCCCTCTGTTGCCTCTGCTGCTGCTGCCGACCTGCTTGGCCTTGAGTCGGTCGGCGCGGCGTCTGCCCCTAGCGGGAGATGCTGCCCTGGCAAGGGCAAGGGGGGCAAGGGCGCGGGTGGAGCTGGCGGGGGCGGTGGAGGTGGCAGTGCCGGTGGCGAGGGAGTGGGGGTGGCGGTGGGAGTGGTGGTGGGGGTGGTGGTGGTGGTGGCGGCAGCGGAGGCGGCGGCGGTGGCGGCGGCGGCGGTGGGAGCGGAGGCGGCGGTGGTGGCGGAGGTGGAGGCGGCAGTGGCGGAGGAGGTGGAGCCGGTCGGGGTAGTGCCCCTCAGCGGGACGGCTCTGGTGGTGGTCAGCGCCAGCAGCAGCAGCAGCAGCAGCAGCGTTCTCGGGACATCCCCCCGCCTCAGCAGCTCCGTGAGTGGTACACGCAGCGTCAGCGTGGTGGGGGTCTTGGCCCGTGCACCTACGTTCTTCGTTCCGGCGACCGCGGCGGGTGAGCAGTGTGGGGGTGCCCACTCCACCCAGCGCTGCTTTGGCCGCCTGACGGACGCTTGGCGTCAATAGTTCCCCGAGGCTAGTGAGATTCCCCGCTGGGGAGAGCTGTCTAGGGCTGGCGTAGCGATCTTTGATCTTGACTTTGATGCTATCCTTGCTGCCATGTATGCTGTGACTATAAGTGATGAGGGTGACTGTTACCGGTGTTTCCCGCCCGACCCGGGCATTGGTACTGCTGCGCTAGGTGCTTGTGAGGCTACTGCTCTAGGTGCCAGTGCGTCTGCACTCTCAGGTACTGGTGAGGCTGCGCTCTCAGGTACTGCGTCGGCTTCGGCCTCCCTCACCTTCACACTTGACTCAGGGGCTTCTCGCTCCTTCTTTCGAGACCGCACCACACTCACGCCGCTTGGTCGGCCGGTTGCAGTCTCCCTAGCTGACCCCTCTGGGGGGTCCTGTCCTCTCTCACTTCTCCACTGTCCTCCCGTGTCCGGCTGCCCCCTTGGGCACCCTGTCGGGTCTGTACCTCCCCTCGTTCTCGACGAACTTGGTGAGTGGTGCTGACCTGCAGGATGCGGGGGTTCACCAGTTTACTCCTGCGAGTCAGCGGGTGACCCACTGCTCGGACGCCCGCACAGGCCGACACCTAGCCACGTTTTCGCGTCGGCCGGGGTCGAGTCTCTACACCCTGACCACTGAGTCTCCTCCAGTCCCTGCGTCTGGCCAGGTAGCTGCGTCGGGTCAGGTGTTTGCTGTTGCGTCCAGGTCTGGTCCTGAGTCTGCCCCCTGCTCGTGTCGCCTCCTGTCTCACGAGACTCTCTTGTGGCACCACCGTCTTGGCCACCCCTCTTGCCTCGTCTTCGGGGCATGGCTTCCCGTGTCCTTGTCTCTGGTCTCCCCCGGTCTCTCCCTCCCCTTCCTTCGGGGCCAGGACCTTCCTGTGTCCCCTGTGTCGAGGGGCGGCTCTGGGCTGCCCCTCACTCCTCCTAGTTTCCTCCGACAGAGGCTCCTCTGCAGACGCTTCACATGGACGTGTGGGGCCCGGCCCGCGTCCGTGGACAGGGTCACGAGCGCTACTTCCTGCTGGTGGTTGACGACTACTCGCGTTACAACACAGTCTTCCCCTTGCGCAGCAAGGGTGATGTCACTGAGGTGTTGATCGACTGGATCCGCGCAGCTCGTCTCCAGCTCAGGAGGAGCTTCGGCTCGGACTTTCCTGTTCTGCGTCTGCACTCTGACCGAGGCGGAGAGTTCTCCTCTGGCCTTCTGCGAGCCTACTGTCGTGCACGAGGCATCCGCCAGACCTTCACGCTTCCGGACTCTCCACAGCAAAATGGGATTGCTTAGCGCAGCATTGGCATGGTCATGGATGTCGCTCGTACGTCCATGATGCATGCGGCTGCCCCCCATTTTCTGTGGCCGTTTGCGGTTCGGTACGCGGCGCATCAGCTCAACCTTCACCCCAGGGTCTCCCGGCCGGAGACCTCCCCAGCTCTGCTGTGGACGGGGAAGGTCGGCGATGCGTCTGCGTTCCGTGTCTGGGGATCTCGGGCATTTGTCCGCGACTTGTCTGCGGACAAGCTGTCCCCTCGTGCTGCTCCCTGTGTCTTCCTAGGCTTCCCCACTGACGCCCCAGGGTGGCAGTTCTACCACCCCTCCTCTCGTCGTGTTCTGTCCTCCCAGGACGTCACGTTCGACAAGTCCGTCCCCTTCTACCGCCTCTTCCCCTACCGCACTCCTTCCCTCCCCCCGCCACCGCACTTCCTTGTGCAAGGTCCCCCCCCGGTAGACCCCCTTCCCCCTCAGGGTCCCGCCCCTTCAGGTGTGTCCCAGGTAGATGCAGTCGAGCCGGTCGAGGTTGCTGGTGACTCAGGTACTGCTGGGGGTGCTGAGCCTGGGGGTGCTGAGCCTGGGGGTGCTGACTCTGGGGGTGCTGAGTCTGGGGGTGCTGAGCCTGGGGGTGCTGAGCCTGGGGGTGCTGCCTCTGGGGGTTCTGAGCCTGGGGGTGCTGAGCCTGGGGGTGCTGACTCTGGGGGTGCTGCGCGCGTGGGTGCTGAGCCTGGGGGTGCTGAGCCTGGGGGTGCTGCGTCTGGAGCTGCTGAGCCTGGAGGTGTGGAGCCTGCGGCCATTGGACCTCCCCTTGTGGCGTCTGGCGGTGCTGGGCCTGGAGGTTCTCCGGGTGTTTCGTCTCGGCGGGAGCCACTCTCTCCACAGGAGCTGCGTGAGTGGTTTGCTCGCCGCTGGAGGCGTACTGCTGGAGCTGGCGCTTCTTCGGCCGCTGAGGGTGCTGGTGCCGCCGGTCCCGGAGCTGCTGGGCCTGCGGGTCCGCCTGGAGCTGGAGCTTGCTGAGGGTGTTGGTTCTGAGACTACTAATGTCCGTCCTGGTGGTGGTCTTGCTGCGGGTGCTGCTGGTGCTACTGGAGGTCCTGCCGCTGGAGGTGCTGTTGGCGCTGGTGCTGCCGGAGGTGCTGAGGGTGCTGGTGCTGTCCGTGCTGTGTCTGGTGCCGCCGCGCGGCCTCGGCCGTACTTTGTTCCGCTCCTTCAGCAGGTTCTTGGTCTTCCTCCTCTCTTAGAGTGTCCACCGCCTGTCCAGTCGCAGTCACAGTTACCGCCGGCCTCCCCACTGCCTGCTCCCTCTCCTTACACTGGTCCTACTAGAGGTCTTACTGAGCGTCGTGACCCTGCGTCTCGTCCCGCGTCGCCTGTCCGTACTGCTCGCACTAGTGGTCGTGGTTCGCGTCAGCGTCCTCCTCCTGTCCCTGGCACGCACCGGATGTCTCTGCGTCCCTCCACTGCTCCTCTGCGTGCCCCTTTGCCTTCTCCTCCTGAGTCCTCTCTTCCTGCGCTTGCCGGCCCGGCGTCGGACTCCCTTCGTGCTGCCAGTCCTACTGTCACGCGTCTCCTTGCTACTGTTGTCACTGACCCCTCTTTTGAGTCCACTGCTGCGTCTGCTCTTGTTGCTGAGCTCGTCGACTCTGCTGCTCGCTGTTGTCTGGACTACGCTGCTAGTCTTGTTGCTGAGTCTGCGTCTGTCTGTCCTCCGTCCGTCGGGGGTGAGTGTGCTCTTGGCACGGACGTCCTTGAGGACAGGCAGGAGGAGTTTCAGTGTCTGGCTGCTGCTTCACCTCATCTCGCGTCTGTACTGCTTGCCCCTGAGGGAGACCCGGATGCACTAGACATCCCGACTCCGCGCTCTTACGCGGAGGCCGTAGAGGGTCCCTACTCCTCTCAGTGGCAGGCAGCTATGGATGCAGAGATGGCTTCCTGGAAGTCCACAGGCACCTACGTTGACGCGGTTCCCCCTCCTGGGGCGAACATCGTCAGTGGCATGTGGATCTTCAGGGTGAAGCGGCCGCCGGGCTCTCCACCTGTCTTCAAGGCGCGGTACTTGGCTCGTGGCTTCAGTCAGCGGCAGGGAGTTGACTACTTTCAGACCTTCTCTCCCACCCCGAAGATGACCACTCTTCGGGTGCTGCTGCACATAGCCGCTCAGCGTGACAACGAGCTCCACTGTCTTGACTTCAGCACTGCTTTCTTGCAGGGTAGCCTGCACGAGGAGATCTGGCTGCGCCGTCCACCTGGCTTCACTGGGACTTTCCCGCAGAAGAGACACACGTGCACAGACCTGGGTGAACTGCGCAGCTACCTTGGCTTGCAGATCACTCGGGACAGAGCACGCCGCACCATTACCTTGACTCAGTCACACATGGTGCAGCAGGTCCTTCAGCGCTTCGGCTTCACGTACTCCTCGCCTCAGGCCACTCCTCTGTCTACTCGCCACTCGCTCTCAGCTCTGCCTTCGGATGAGTCCGTAGAGTCGAGTGGCCCGTACCCAGAGCTTGTTGGCTGCCTCATGTTCCTGATGACCTGCACACGACCTGACCTTGCATACCCTCTTAGCATCTTGGCACGCGATGTTGCTCCTGGGAGACACCGACCAGAGCACATGGCTGCAGCGAAGAGGGTGTTGCGCTACTTGTGCAGTACGTCGGGCATGGGGCTAGTGCTTGGAGGGCGGAGTCCAGTGGTCCTCACTGGGCACGCGGACGCTTCTTGGGCTGACGACCAGGCTACGCAGCGGTCGTCGCAGGGTTACACCTTCAGTCTTGGTTCCGGCTTTGTTTCGTGGCGGGCTACTCGCTCGTCTTCTGTTCTCGGCTCCAGTTGTGAGGCTGAGATCTACGCAGGGGCCATGGCTGCTCAGGAGCTTCGCTAGCTCACCTACCTGCTGGCTGACCTTGGAGAGCCGCCTCGTTCTCCTCCATTGCTGTACGTAGACAACAAGGCCATGCTGGCCTTGTGTCGAGAGCAGCGCCTGGAGCACAGAACGAAGCACATTGCTCTCCGCTACTTTCTTGCTCGTGAGCTGCAGCAGCGTGGTCAGTTGCGACTTGCGTACGTGGCCTCTGAGGCCAACACTGCTGATGTTTTCACCAAGGCACTTCCGCCTTGTGATCATCAGCGCTTCTGCACTCAGCTGGGACTTGTCCCAGTCTTGCCTCACTTGCTCACCTCTTGACCTTACTTGTACTCTTACATATATATATACCTACTCTTGCTTGTTTAGACTTATATATATATGTCTCCTCCTGCATGTGAACTGGCCTTGTGGCCTTGACCTTGTGGTCAGACTGTGTGGTGACGTTGTGATCCACCCTGAGCTTGCTTTGCTTTGCTTTGCTTGACTGGTCTTGTGACCCCTTGTTCTCCCCCACTTTGCCTATGGGGGTGTGTCAGAACATTATAGCTTATGCTTTTGTGTAGGCTATAGTGGGGTATCCCATAGGGGGTACAACCCAATTAGGGTTAGCACTTGTACCCACTTCATTCATAGTTCATTCATTCGCGTTCACTTCTTCACACATGTCAGAATCCCAACCACTAGACCATTGGGATAAAAGGGCTTGTTTCAGTAGCGGGTCAGTGCGCCCATAACCCCCAGGCGAACGCGCCTGTAACCCTCTCCAGGATCAATCGGGCATCCACAGTGCAGATCTACTGACACGGACTATGTGCGAAAGCCTTCAAACCCCGGGCAAATCATGATATTTACAGTCCCGTTCAGGAAAATTGCATGAAGAGAGGTTTTTTTGCTTCTAGTTTTTGAAAAATTGTCCTTTACGTAGTTTCGGACTGCACTTGCTTCAACTTCTCGTTGCACGGCTCCCGGCGCTGATCAATGTCGCATGACTAACGGGCAAAAGAAAACAAAATCAATTATGGTTTGGGGGCCAGATGGAAGGTAAAAACTTTCGTTTTACCCTATAACCGAGATAAATGAGATGTCATCGTCAAGACCGCTGGAGACCGCGCGACAGGATTGAGAAGTAATCACGGTCAAGAGAGACATAAACTTGTAATTCTGAACTTTGATATCGAATCGATTATCCATTATTTATCATTTTCCCGGAATGTTGGGCTGGTTCGATATGGAGCCTCTAATTGGCTGCGGAGCTGATTCATGGAATGATTTGGTCAAGTTGCAAAAATTCCCGCCAAAAAGGGACTATAGGGGTCGGGCCAACCTTAGGCGATATCGGAAAACTCTACTCAAGGGACTCTTTTAACAAGAACCTCTGACCCTAAACACCTGTACATCCTCATTCTCGCTACACTGGCAATGGGATTCACTGGCTATAGTGCGTACTATTGCTTGGAACGTAGCGGTCTGGTGCTTAGAACCAAACTGCAGGTTGGTGACGGGCAAATGCTCTCTTGGTGAACGGTACACAGCGGTTTCCAAAAGGAAACTTGCTTAGGCATACGGTTGAGTGCGGACATACGTGCTTATATGGTACGCTCTGGGACTATCCTGGACGCATTGATGTGTGTACATTCGATCAACCAGTATAGCCAATGACTGTGTAGCGCGAAACATGGTGTACTATGATAATCCGAGATAGATGCCGTTTCAATGACCGTTCGTGATAACCGAGTGACTACACCTGGCCCGCGGTAAATTCACCGCCTTATTGTTTTTTTTCCAGGAC